GCGGTGGCTCACAATAGTTATTTGTAAATAATTCAATAGTGAGAATGAAATTTGATTTTCTATCAACACCAAGTCGTTTACTACGAGATATATATTGTAATTTATTGATGACAACTCACATGTTAAATATTTTATTCTTCTAAGGTGATAAAATCATATTCACTATATTGAGAAGAAATTGTCAATTACTATGAGCTATACAAATTCTTATTATTCTTGAGAACTTTTTGCAGAATATTTAGTCCTTATCATGTCTTTAGCACTAATGATAATAGTGACATACTTTTTCAATAATCTTACAATATATCAATCTAATAATTATTTTATGAGACTTCGTTTTACTACGTCCATAGCTGCTACTAGGCTTTCTATGATTGTATAACCCTATAAAGATAACCTTGACATCAAAGACCTCTAGGTTTTCTTTCTTAAGATCAGGTTGTACCTTGAAGATTGTAGCAACTAGCAACTTGATATTCTTATACTAGGAATTGGTCCTTGATCAAGCTTATTATCTCATAAGCTTCCATTTTATATGAAAAACAAACTAAATCATTGATTTAGCCTTTATATCCACCCAAGAACAAGAGAGTTACTAATGTTGTGAAAGTTACAAATGATATAGAAAAATATGTAAGTCACTAGTTTATAGATTCACATGAGTTTGACTACTTACACAAATAAAAATTCAATGTTCTAATCTCAAAACAACTATCTAGGAAATCAGTTGGACGAATCTACAAGACTTGGGGAATCTATAAGACTTGGAGGGAAAGACATTTCATAAAAGTTACTCCAAAAGACATGGGGCATGTGGTTGTCATACAGATGGAGGTATATAATCTGATTCTAATTGGAGAAGAAGATTTCTGAATAGCCAGATAGATTGTTCGGTTTTGATCGGAGTTGTGGCTGAGAGGGAGTAGAAGACTTCCAAATAGGTAGCTAGACTGTACAATTCTAGTGGAAGCTTCAATTGGGAAGATAGGAGAAGATTTCCAAACAATTAGTAAGAAAAGAGGGGGGATGACTGATGCGAATGGAGAATGGTGCGAAGTTGAGATTTAGAATTTAGAAGTTTACAATGGGTTAGTGATATGATAGAGGACCCAATGGGTTAGTGATATGATAGGTGAGATAAAAACACAGAAAGATACTTGTGGCAATAATTTCTAGAAGTCTGCAGTGGAAACCCTCAAATCCTCTTCCTCTTTCCAGCCAGCAACCAGTTGGAGGGATGACGGACATCAGCCTAGATGAGATGCTGAAGGCTTTTTCATAGATGGTGGCAGAAGTTGAGGTTTGCTGGTGCTCCTCTCATTTCCTATCACTACCCCTTCCTCTATTATGCTTCTTTGTCTATATCTCTTAAATTGCAGCACTGCAATTTTAGGCTTTTCTTTCTCTGCTCCTTGATCACCACTGCCACCCACTTCTTTCGGATTTTTGTCTTGTTTTTCTGACATGTGTTTCCCTGAGTTTTTTTTTAATGGGAAATGGAGGAGATTGGACATCAGCCTAGATGAGATGCTGAAGGCTTTTTCATAGACAGTGGCAGAAGTTGAGGTTTGCTGGCGCTCCTCTCATTTCCTATCACTACCCCTTCCTCTATTATGCTTCTTTGTCTATATCTCTTGAATTGCAGCACTGCAATTTTAGGCTTTTCTTTCTCTGCTCCTTGATCACCACTGCCACCCACTTCTTTCGGATTTTTGTCTTGTTTTTCTGACATGTGTTTCCCTGAGTTTTTTTTTAATGGGAAATGGAGGAGATTGGATCATTGGTTGTTCTCTCAAATAAGTTGAAAGCAGAAACTCTAGTTGCAGAAGCACCCAGCCAATCTATTCCAGTGACCGTGTAAAGACGAATGGTGACGAGTTATTATTACTTGCACACAGTAGGGGAAGACATGAATTCACTGTCAGTTCTTTTTTTCTTAATGGAAAATATGTCAGTGTAGATTTATCCGGCCAGTCTAGTTTATGACACGATACTTGCTGAGTTTTACTAGGATCTTGTCATCACCCTTGTTATGATGACCTCATACCCATCCCTTTTTTATGCTGCTATTGTGATTGCTGTAATTTTTTCATGGATGGGTTGTTAGCTCGTGAAGAATTAAGTGCTGAGCAGCTTGGGCGGTATCTGAAAACATTTTTCCTTAAGGTATTCTTGTAGTGGATTCAGAAGACAATTCAAACAGGAACTTCCTTTGTTCGAATTATCATGAAATATTATTTGAAATTCTCTCGGCTATTTATCTTCTTTTCAACGTACTTTTGTTCTGCTCGACTTGTTTCAAATGATTTATTAATAAAATGTGCTTTCTTGGTCTTAATTGAGGACAACATTTGTAGATTTTTTCCAGGTGAGGTGACTACTGTTGAGGAGTATCTACAACAGGTCAATTTTGATTCTCCTTTGATTATTTTTCGTCAATATCTATATTTGATTTGGAATGTCCAATCTTGTGAGCTCCTTTTATTGTTCAAAATTATCAATGGCAACTTGACTGTGTACGAAAAAGATGTATGAAGTTAGCAATCAAGTGGCTGATTGTTGGAACTTCTGTCTTTATGTGTTGGGTTTTAGTGCTGAAAACCTTAGTGAGATCATATTAAATGTTTTTTTTTCACCAGACAGAACCTTAAATGTTGTGTTTAATAGTTCGTTTCCTCAAATTGCCCTCCTAATCGAAGACCATATTATTTTTATTGTCACTTTCTGAAGCTCTGACAGTGGGCGGATTAGTGTTTAAGATTTCTGTAGATTCTGAATTCCTAGAGAGGAGTAGCATAATGGAGCTGATTAACTATTAGGGCTTTGGATAGTTTCTAGGATAATTTCTCACGACCAAAGTCAAGATGGCACTTTGTCCCTATTACAAGTGACATCCTTTCTGAAATACTTTCTTGAGTGACCGAGTCCTCATCAGCCATTGTCTGGAAAGAGAAACAGAGATTAAGGCTTATATTGCAAGTAAGAGGTTTCTTCGAATACGATTTTATCAAAAATGGAGATCGGTGAGAAACATAATAATCTACCTGAATTAAGTGCCATATCTTCTGCATGCTTACTTTTCTCCAACAGATGTTTCAATGCCAATACATTCATGTGCAGCCCTGAAAGCTGTAGCAGGGTAAAGAGGGAAAAGTTGATCCAATAAACAAATAACATGAAATTCAACGTTTTGAAAAATTATTAATCTTCGATCATCATCTGCAGTAAAATGCGTACATTGAAAGGCAAACCACTCTGTCTAGCATCATTAAGATTCCTCACCACACCAGCGCAACCTGAAGTTTTTTTTCCCAGGAAGAGGCCTATCCGTCGCTGGCACAAGCTCTGCAGAGGACGCACGAGAAACCTGAGAACTCAAAGCTTGAGATGTAATCTGACGAGGACGGGTTAGCCCAGTGCTTCGAGTGCCACTGTCTCTTCTAGGTAACACTGCTAATTGACTTAAACTGTGCAAAATTCCTGTTTCTCCTTCCAATCTTCCTATCAAACAAAAAAGTGGAAAAAAGAGACATTATGAATTTAATAGAATATAGCACAACAAAGCCTAGCGACCAGATTTTGATTCACAGTTAGACATTGTTAAGTAAACCGTATTAGCATGCAGTTATAGTTTGTGGAAAGATGTTGCATGTGGCGCTCTTCGTTCAGAAACAGATACTGTGATCACGAAAATTTGTGGCATCTGGTTAGAGTTCTTGAATAGCCTTGAAAATATTATGAGAACACTGAAGTTGAATGCATTGCAAAGTCTATACGCAGTTGCCCTCAAAACGTCTTTGATGGTTCCCTGTTGATTTGTTGGGCTCCAAATATTGCGGTTCTGTTCTTAGAAATTATCTGCCTTCATTTTGGCTTACTTCAGTGTGTGTGTAGATTAGTGGAGCATACGATTTGAGTTTTTTGGCTCTGGACCACTAAGGGCTAAAGAATGCATGAGCGAGAATTCAGAAATACCTAGAGATTTTATAAGTTCAAATACAGTCCCAACTCGATTATCTCAACGAAGGGCTAATTAATCTGGCTGAACGAAGGCAGCCAGATTGAGTCATCAGTTTCTAAATTCAGAAAGGTTATCCATAGGGATTTTTTACTTCCTGAATATTAGTTATTGATTTTTCTCGAGTTTTTGGTGTGGATCATTAACAGACTAAGAAATTTAGATCCAAAAATGTAGAATCAAGACACAAATTCCAAGATTAGGCCCGATTATCTCACTAACGCTGACTTACCAAGCTCCAGACGCAATCAAAGAAAATATGACATTGTGTGATGAATAATAGGTATAATGGATGCACTGATAAAGCTATTGTGGAAATTTCTCCTGACCTGTTTGTTGCAAGAAAAAAATGAAAACTTCGAATGGGAGATGAAAAACTAGAAGACTGATGTATATATACAGCGTAATGACATGTAAATTATATGAGATGGAAAGTGTCTAGCTTCTATGATATCAATAAATTCAGCCATATAGTGTTTTCCGGGCCTCCCTATTCCCACAAGACGCCACTCAATGCTTTAACCCCTTTCTTATTCAAATTATAATTCTTAAACTGTTGTGGTTTAATTCAGAAAATCGCATGTTATGTTGGTATGACCATTTTACTGATCTAAATCAATATGAGCCTAGTGGCATTCGCTCTTCAAAATTATCAGATACGTATCTGAAATCCGATAGCTCCGTGTAAACCAACATGGTTGACCTTCTTTATTAAGGGTTATTTTCAAAAATGGGATGCCGAATAGCCGTATTGAGTTTCCTCAACCATACCCAATTGGCTATTAAATGAGCGATTTAAAGTGTCGACTGTAGATGCTATCCACTTATTAATGGTTCCAGGGACCCAAAAACAGGGTAATCCCCTCTGCCCATTCCAGACACTTTCCATTGACTTTGAATTTTCAACGTAAGAGTTAAGATTCTGAGCATATAAACCACCACTTAACGACGGGGATATCTTCTGCACATTCCTGCTGAACAGATGGCCAACAAGGGTGCGCTGACGGCAGCGGCAGCGATTCTGCTCCTCGTGCTCGTACTCTTTCAGGCCATCCCCACTGATGCAGCTCGCCGGATGGCGCAGGGTTTGGGCCTCCTCTTGTTCGCCTAGTCGAGATCCATGTTTCTTCTTCGATTCTGCATGACCGAGTATGTTTTCACTGGAGAACTAATATATATGTCTCTGTTTGCATGATCATGCAGAGTTAGCGCCCGCAGCGCCGCCCCCACCCCCCAGGAACTTGGTTCCGATTTGTCAACGTTGTTTCTTTCCTCCGGCACCTGTTTTTTACTGTCCAGCCTGCCTCTGTTGCTCTCCGAAGCCAGCGTTCGGGTGCTGCAAGTGCTGCACCGGACCGATCGAGACCTTCGGGTCGCCGCATCCGTGAGCTGCTGCGATTCCCACTGAGGCGTCCCGGCATGGACATTAGTAGCAATAAGGAAATCTCCACTACTCGTGTGGGAGGCTCCATCGTTATTTGCGTGTCTCTCATTTGCAATATGCTATCTTACAGGTGATAATATGATATAAATATACAGCACTGACGATTCAGATATAGTTAACCGACGTTCGCCTTTTTCTCTTACTTCTCTAAATCCCTCCCTCATTTTCCTCTACCTTTCTCCTCAGAGCACGCGCGCGCGCACACACACACTCCCCTTCAGACTTCACTGATCTCGGTTTCCTTTCCTCCCCATTCAATTTACGAGCTAAAGAAAATATTATGTTGCTTCAGACGGATAAAGAAAAATAATTTTCTGTCCTAAGTTGCTTGAGGCGAATCATCAACTTAATCAGTGCAATGGCTGCACATTGACGTCTCATAGGTACCAATCGCGAAATCTTTGTTGATCAACCCATGCTAATGTACTTGATTGCGAAAAATGCATCTATTGTTTATAAATATTAACTAACGAAATGGTTAAACATAAAAAATGTATATTTCTGTTTCAATAATTATTTTGGCCTCCATAGGTCAAGGAAGAGAAAATGAACCAAGATTCTGCTACAAAGCGTGGAAGACTCCCATGAACACCTCGACAGAAAAATGGCGGACTTGAGGTGAAATATATTTAGTTTAGTGGAGATTTTTGAGCTTAGTGCATTTCGTGACATTATCTTAATAATGACTGAGATAAGTAGGGCTACAATGCTGTGAAAACATCCAATTAGCAGTTCATTATTTATAGGGTGTAGACATCTTATTTTAAGCGTATCCAGAAAAACAGACTTTTTCCTAATTTAGGTATCCCAACTGTCCCAGCAATTTCAATTGGGTTGGAAGTACCCCCTAGAAAAATATTTTACTTGAAAGGAAACGAATATGTGACTATATAGAACATCATAGTGAGAGCTTTCTCTTGATCTTTCATTGAGATTATGGAGGGTAAGAGGAGAGAGAAAGATAATTTCTATCAATGATTTGAGCCTTCGAATGCCAAATTTACCAAAATTGTCCGAAAATTCTTCTATGGATGATCTGGTAATGGTGATATTGGTCTATGCAGATGTTTTCAGTTGAAGTAACTTGTCCACCATTTTCTTCGTGATAATTTCTATTTTGAAGAAGTCGGCTACCTAAGCTTGAAAATTTACCACGACTAAGACAGAGTCGCAGTTAATTCCGAGTTCATGGGGTCCATTCCCAGAGGATAATGAAGTATATCATTGTAACATTCTATGGTAAAGATATTCTAGAGAGTTAACAAATCACATCTTGGTTTGCCTTTTCAAAATCGTATTCCCAGTTTTATTCCAGAAATTGCTTGAAAGTTTCGGCCTTGACATTCAAACCTTATCATTTTATTCCGTCCATTAAACTACCCTCGCACACATGCACACATTATCTCTTTCTCTTTCTTTCTTTCTGTGTGTATATATATATATAGAGTTATTTATTTTCATATTTATATATGTACATATATAGTGAGCGAGATAGATAGATAGATAGATAGATAGAGATAAAGATAGAGATAGATAGATAGATAGATAGATAGATAGATAGATAGATAGATAGATAGAGATAAAGATAGAGATAGATAGATAGATAGCGAGAGCGAGAGAGAGCGAGCGAGAGAGAGAGAGAGAGATCCACCTGTAGCCTCGGTTGAACCAGTCATCAAACGTACATTTGTCCAACTAGGAACATTCTCTTTGAATGAGTCTATTCTCAAGGGCGATAGTTCCTCTTCAGAAAGCGGAAGTGGGAACAGTGATACTTTCGTGTGCCTCTGTCACATGGTGACAAATTGATAGAGAAGACGTTTCATCTTTGACTTTTCTTAACGGTTCATCTTTGACTTTTCTTAACGTTTCTTAATGTTTTAAATAATAGTCACTTTCGTTGGTCAAAGTTTGACATCGACCGATTTACAAGATTTAATATTAATGACGCTAAGCAACACGTTGAGAGCAAAGGTTTCGTCAAAATGTTGAAATGTATGTGTAATGACTTTGTTGATCTTCAATCTTAATTGGATGTAAAATTTAATACGAGCTGGAAAATCCTCCATAAATTTAATAATCCAGTATGCACAAGCAGTCAGTTATATAAAAGTTTAAGGAAATTAAAGTAGTGTTTATATGCACAATCAGTTAAGTTCTCAAGGATGTCCTTGAGAACCTGCCTCTTTATTTGGGGGTGCTGGTTTGTGATGATCCCAGATACCTTGGAGTGGATCTCCTTTTCTAATAGGTAAAATAGATTTAAAACCAGCTTCAAAATGAAATTGATTAAAGAAAAGGTAGTTTCAGGCTGAGATGTGAGGCAGTTTATACTTATCTGCGATATTATTATTTAAATTGCAATAATTAAATCCTTGCTTGGTATTAAGTCTATAGATATGTTAACTATTATTATTTGTATCTTGGGCGGGTACCGATACAACACTCACTGGTTAAAATCTTAAAAAGATCAGGTTGCAGCTAGTTTTAGCTTCCGATAAGTAATTTGCTCTAATTCTGGGATTGTAATATTGCGAGAAAAATTGTCGACTTCACTTCTATAAAACCACCGATATCTCACCATGAATGGTTAAAAGATTTAATTATATATATATATATATATATATATAGACAAGATTATGAAGTACTTGATAATAATATGAAATGGAAAGTATCTAATTTTTATTATACCAAAAAGTTACCATATAATGTTTTCCAAACCTCTCGATTCTCAAAAGAGGCCACTCAATGCTTTAACAACACTCTTATTCAAATTAAAATTTGTAAACTGTTGTGGTTTCATTCTGCAAATCGCAGGTTCCACTGGTATGACCATTTTACTGATAAAAATTAATGACCCTGGTGGCATTACTTCTTCAAAATTATCACTTACGTGTCTGAAATCCGTTAGCTGCGTCTACACCAATATGCTTGTGCTTCTTTATTAAAGTTTATTTTCATCGACGGGATTCCGAATAGCCGCATGGAATTTCCTCAACCATACCCAGTTGCCTATTAAATGAGCGATTTAAAATGTCGATTGTAGATGCTATCTCCTCTCTAATAGGTCCAGCGACCAAAAAAAAGGGCAATCCCCTCATTAATTCGGATTCTTTATATTGACTTTGATTTTTCAACATAAGACCTAAGATTCTGTGCATATAAACCTACAGTATAGTGACAACTTCAGCTCATCCTCGCTGAACAAATGGCGAGCAAGGGTGCGCTGACGTCAGCGGCAGCGATTCTCCTCGTGCTCGTTCTCCTCCCGGCCAACACCACCGAGGCTGCTCGCCGGATGGCGCAGGGTTAGGGTCTACTCTCTCCGCATAGTGGAGATCTGTGTTTCTTCTTCCTTCAATTCTGCAAGACCAAGTATGTTGTCACTGGAAAAATAATAGATGTCTGTGTTTCGATGCCCATGCAGAGTTAGCGCCCGTAGCGCCACCCCCATCGCCTGGCCATTGGACTCCGATTTGTCCACGATGTATCTGTTGTTCTCCTAAGCCGTTGATCGGCTGCTGTCGGTGTTGCCCTTTTCTCCCACTGCCACCGAGGTTGCCTCCTATCTGTCCAGCATGCGTCTGTTGCTCTTCGAAGCCATTGTTCGGGTGCTGCAGCTGCTGCGCCGAACCTGTCGAGAAGCATGGGTCGCCGCATCCGTGAGCTGGTGGGGTTCCCATGGAGGGGTCTCATCATGGACGTTAGTAGATATAAGGATACATCCTCTTCTCCCGTGGGTAGCTTTATCGCTTGTTTGCTCGGCACTCATTTGCATTACGCTATCCTACACGTGTTAAGCTGATATAAATATACAGTACTGACGGCTCAGATACACTGAAGCTGGCGTTGGTCTTTCTCCCTTTGTCTAAATCCCTCCAACATCTTCTTCGACATTCCTCAGGTCACTTTCTATTCTCCCCAATCCTTCCCCCTATATCTATGCCGAGAATTAGGAAATCAAAAATCACTAATCTCGGTTTCTTATTCTCCTCATTCAATTTAAGAACCTAGATAACTTATTCTCTGTCCAGATAGATAAAGAAGACCAGTCATCTATTCGAAGTTGCTTGAGATGAATCATCAACATAATCAGCACAATACTGACTGGCTGCACATTGACGCGTCATGGGTATCAAATCACCACATATTTGTAAACCGTCCCATGCTGATGTACTTGGTCGCAAACCAAGCACTTGTTGTGTATAAATACTAACTAAATGGTTAAGCTAAAAAAATGCACATTTCTAATTCAATATTCCTTTGTGGTACAAAACGTTTTGGAGAAATTAGTGTATATACTTATTTAGATTGTATAGACTAAACACCAGTCATAGCTTACTTGATATATTTGTTTTTTCTAATTTAATACAAGTGCATATATTGAATGTACGTAGTCCTTTACAATTTGATTCGCCCTGTATTCTAGAAAATCTGTGAACCTTTTTTATTTGAGTAGACCTTGAGAACTGTTCCTGTTAGTTTGGACTTTGAATGGGAAAATCAATAGAATTGGAAAGCGGGAGGAAAAAAGGAGAGCTGATTTCCACATGGAAGATAAAGAGTAGTGTTATGCTATCCTTTAAATTCATAGACTGGATAGTTTTGGTGCCACTCTCTATGGAGATCTGCTTTTGTAGAATTCCTGCACTAAATCCATTAACGGAGTTCAGTTTGATCTCCAGAGGAAAAGCAAGGGAAAATGAAGCAGGATTCCGCTACAGAGCGTGTCTCCCATGAGCACCTCAACAAGAAAATGGCAGACTTCAGAATGAAATGTATTAGTTTAGTGGATGTTTTTTAGGTTAGTGCATTTCTAAACATTACCTCAATAATGACTGGCACTTCAGGCTGCAATGCTGTGAAAACATCCAACTAGTAGTTCATTATTTGTAGTGTGGACATCTTATTTGAAGCATACCCCAAAAAACAGAAGTTTTCCTA